TTTGCCTGACGTTTCTCTGCAGACATAAACGTTGAAAATGTGTGTATTTTGAACACCAATCTGTGTAAAAATGGTGGTACATGCTACAGTACCGGGGAACAGGAATTCAGTTGTATTTGTGAAAGCGGATGGACCGGACAAACTTGTGAAACTAGTAAGTGTTGTATACTCCAGTAATTATTCATCATGTTTCAAACAGAAATCATTTGAATATGACATGTGCAACACGAGGATACAATCGTGAAATGGCTCAATCAATACCATATGTATGTATGCCATTTACCTATAATTACAATTAAAAAAAATTAAAAATGATGTAAATTACCTGTTATTTATACAGCTGTGATTGTGGTCAATCCTTGTCTCAGTTCGCCATGTAAGAACGGAGCATCGTGTGTTCACCGTCAGACTGAACAGACATATATATGCCAGTGTAGCAGTAACTGGCAAGGCAGAGACTGTGACATTGGTAAGTGGCCATGCTAAAATGTAACCAATCAAAACGTTACCTTGCAATATTGTATTGAATTGAAACTATTATTTTCGCTATATATATCTAGTCTTTACGGGATATTAATACAATTGTTAGAGGTCTGACAATATTTCATTGAAATACGATGATTATATATTTCCGAACAACACAATTCACTAGGCCTACTGTACTGTGTATGTCTTTTACCTTGTACCATTATCCAACTCGGCCTACTAACAGTTTAATTTTGTTTTCAGCGCCAGCACCAGACTGTGAAATGGAGTATAACTTACAAACAGGTGATGTGGTCACTGTGACATCACCAAACTACCCTTATAACTACCCTGATAACGCACACTGTACATGGACAGTGACAACGGAAGAAGGCCATAAGTTAAAGATCACAGTGAATGATATGAACACAGAATGCGAGGGTGACATGGTTAATTTGGGATCTGGAAGTAATCCCAATGATCCAAATTCTCTGGAGATGAAGGAATCAGGGTCTGACTTAATTCATCCGTTTATTGTCGATGACAATGAAGTATGGATCAAGTTCGATTCAGATCCAACGAACAACAAACGAGGATTCTCATTGAATGTTGAAGATATTATTCCAGGTAACACTATATTTTAATTTAAAGTACACTGACTCACATATAAAATCTATTCGTACTTTTGAAAGCGGGGGAGTTGTCACCTGCGCATGCGTCAGGTGGACATAACGTGTCATTGTTTACAAACAGGCGTCTACCCGTGAGCCTTTGCGTTCTTAGCCTGTGTTGCTATCATTGCTTGTGCGCGTGCGCAGGTGACGACCCTCCCGCTTTAAGAGTTTTGGGTTGAACGTTTCCAAGTACAAAGAGATACTATGTGCGAAGTAATCAAATATCGTATATAAAGTGTATTACATATTACTAGGGTTATATTTTCACAGAGATTGTCACGTGGAATGTTGAGCCAATGAGTTTCGTGTATTGATTGCAATATCGTTGTGTCCCCTCTCTACCTCAGAATAGTGGGAATCACAACATTCTGTTAAATGGTAGAAATATTAGTATCATTCAACGATGTCACAATGTTCATGTGTCTAGTGTCAATATGCAATTTAAGTAGCCTAGACAACGGCTGTATTTTTTAGATGAAGGTGTGGCTTGTGACAGTTCTCCTTGTCAGAATGGTGGAATGTGTGTTCTGGTACCTACCCTAAGCAACAGTTATAAATGTATATGCCAGCCTGGATGGGGCGGACAGACTTGTGATACAGGTAACACGGGTGTATAATGTTTCTACATTTCTGTTTGTTTATATCACATTAAACAAAACAACGCCCTCTATTGGACGACGTGTTAGTATGTTGTTGTCGTTTTACTATGAAAATAACTACCGACCTAACTATAATCTACCTTGTATTGAAAACAGTGAAACTATATAAATGAGTAGTGGAGACAGCAGTTACGTCAAGGAAACCAAATATTACGCTGTCAAAACAATGTGTTTGTATTTTAATGTATTAAAGACTATTGTGTCTCTATTATCAGACTACACTCATGACTGGTGGGCATCTATGAACAATTCGTAACCACTGACCAAATTCACATACAAAATATCAGATCGTCATCTCAAATCAACCCGTTAAAATAGAAAGCACTTGTTTTAGTTTCACCGGGCACACAACCAATGGAATTCATCCAATGCAAATATTATTGTTTTCTCACCGCCACGTGATATAAATCGCTGTGTGAGATACAATGTATATAGATAATTCCAATTTTAGTCAATTTTATATTTAGTGTAATTCCAAATTCACTAGTACTACTTTTTTGTGCAGGGTCTTTGTTAATAGTAGGTAGTAGCTACTTGATTAGCTACCTAGATTAAATACAGTCAAATAAACTGGACTGGACTGAACTGAAATAAAACTGGTAATATAGTAACAGCTGTATATAATGTTCTTTTTACATTATAGATACTGATGAATGTCGAAGTAATCCATGTTTAAATGGCGCCACATGTGTTGATGGCAACGATCTGTATATTTGTGTATGCTTGACTGGATTCAAGGGCAATAACTGTGAGCTCAGTAAGTATTCAACTAAAGTGTAATATATAATTATGTCGATCTATTGATCGCTCACATGCATTCTGTATTATTAAAATTGTAGTAATCTACACAACTATCTAGTACTCAGTGTATTTATGTGATAGATGTGCATAAGGCGTGGGTCATTGTGGTAGACAATGAAAAGCGTATTATAATAGCTCTGGGAGAATGACGTCATATCGGATAGGAATGATATCTACTGTTGGCCCCATGTGCAGTTAATGTTTATTGCCTCTTTGTTCAAGCAGACTCAACGTGATTGTAGCGACGATGTTTATGTTTATTGCCACGGTGCTCAAGAACACTGAACATGATTGTAATGACAATACTTTTGTTTATTGACTCCTTGCTCAAGGATGCTCAACATGATTATCATGAGATGATTATCATGACAATGTTTATTTTTATTCACAACAGCAACAGCCGTTGAATCATGTGGAAATCATTTTTGTTATAATGACGGTGCGTGTATTACGATTGGTGGAGAGGAACAGTGTACATGTGGTTCTGGATGGACTGGAGAATATTGTGAAGATGGTGAGATGCCAGCGTCTGATCACTTATAGTTCTACATTAGCCTTCACATCCTGTCACATACGAATTATGCGTTCTAGAGCGCCTACTTGCAAGATTTACTTTGTTTTCGTAATAATATATCTGCTGTCAAATGTAATTATTACAGCATGCCTTATTTTCATTACAAAACTGAACACAAATGCCCACTAATTCCCATGCATTTTCTGTTCATACTATATTATTATATACTAATAATAACATACTTCTTCTTCTTCTTAAAACAGTGTTGAAATGAAACATTTCAATAAATCCATTACGTAATATCTCATATATTTTCGACTTGCATGTAGTATAACAACACAATTACATTGTTGATTTTCATTCCAGCTGTTAATGAATGTGCCAATGCTCCTTGCCAGAATGGTGGAGAGTGTGTCGACGGCAATGATCAGTTTCATTGTGTATGTGCTGATGGCTGGACAGGGTCTGTGTGTGATGAGGTGTCTGCAGGTAAATGTTCGTAACCATATTGGTTGTTCGGATTAAATGTGACAATCGTTATAGGATATTCTGTTTAACAATTAACAAACACGAATGTTTCTCAATATTTCGAAAATTGTATGTGCCGGGCTCACTGCTACTAAATACCTAGTACATAAAATAACATTGAACATTAACTACAATAAAGGTGTCAAATGTAAACAAATGGTAAAAAACAGCTACCTTTTTTTACAATAAACATACCTAAATAAAAAAGAATATCTTGATTTTAGATAGTGTCCATATTTCGATAATATTCACTGACAAAATATTACCTTTTACTGTAATACCTTTCAAATTGTGTTAATTATTCAAACAAATCATTTACAGAGTCTTAATCTAATGTTTTACTGTGAATAAAAAGTAAGTTAACATTTGGTATTCCGTATATATTATTAACGAATCGGCCATTTTATTATTTCTAATCACTCCTACAATGTCGTCTACTTTTATCCGTAGCATCCTCCGGGGATCCAAACTCAACTGGTAACGATCCATCATCGTCTTTACCGTGGTATTGGATCTTTATAATTGCTGTCTTGGGTGGCTTAGCTGTTGGTGTTGGAGGATATCTTGCATATAAACAATATTTACAAAAGTAAGTGAAATATCTAACCACCACCTTCAAGAAATAGTGCTTAGTTAAAGATGACAATAAATGACAGACAGACAGACCCGCCGTTGATTACAGTATTGAACAAATTAATTAATATTCTATTGTATTTCAGTCTCAAACGTATACATTTTTAACATATCTCTACTTTATGGTATTTTCCCTTGGTCGATATTTAATATTTCAATTCATAATTGGTATAATTTACTGACTTGAAATCAACAGACTCATATTTGTGTTGTACTTCCTAATTGTTTTTTTTTTCAGGAAAAAGGAAAAGGAATCGAACTTGAGAAACACTGATCTACTCCAGTCCTTGAAGGTCAATAATGGCGGACTTTCACCAGAAAATAGGTACGGCTTCACTCCACCTGGAGAACTCAGGTAAAGACGAATGATAGCCCCAGTGATTAGCTTGTAAACTGTATATCACATGCTCATGCATGAGGGCCTCATGCTTTTCTGACTCTGTGGGGGTCGCTTCGCCCGCTTAACTTCAGGTCAGTACACAGTTCATGTCAATGTTTTGACAATCATATATTTCCTAACCTGGATCGTCACAAAATTGAATCTAAAACTGTAATAATTAGTTTTACTAAGCTCATAATTTTCGTAAAATAAGTAAGATGCGCGTTTTGAGTTAGTCTGTTAAAACAGGAAAAAAACATGTCTACTTGTGCCAGTAGTTAAAATAGTGTTATGAAAAAGGAAATAACGAAAGAATCAACTGGCACAATGTCCCAGTTCACATATTTAGGAGTAACATGAATTGAAAACAACTGACAGCCAAGTTTGCTTCCCTTAGAATTGTTGTCATCATAATGTTATACAGTATATTATATATCTGTTACAGCTCACATTCCACGGTGCCTGAGGTGAACAGTTACGAAAACCCATGGCCACGAAGTACAGAAGACTTTGGTGATCTTCACAAAACAGAGATTTAGTATTTATATTTACAAATAGCGTCTTTTTTAGATCGAGACAACAACAAATATATTTATCTCAATACTGTTGTATGCCAATTTGCTATTATTTCCAATCTGACAAGGTCTCGTCGAGTTGATGAAAAAAAAAACAGAAAATATTTTGTTTGTGGAAATTGATAATGAGAAATAAAAAGGAAATAAAGTAGATATATGCTAGGAATTATCCAGGCACATTGAATTAATAATTAAAACTATTGATAAGTGTTATTATAATATAAATGGCATATTTCATATGTACAAGAAATATTGTAATTCACATCCATTTATTGCGTAGCTTAATAATTTTATTTTGTTGATTTCAGAATTTTGTAAATAAATTATATTATTAATTCCTTGTATGTGACTGTGAGTGTTTCACTTCCACAAAATTCACTTTTCATTATCATACCAGTATGTCTGCCACACTTCTTCAATGTCATTATCCATAAATATCCTCAGAGCCGTATTGTAGTGCTTATGAATGCATAGCTATGGCCGGAAAGCAGTTTTGTGACCCTGTGTATTTTATCGGCTGATCTGCACTGGCTCGGAAGATGAATTCTGATTGGCTAAAAAAACAAAAAAACTTGTGGCGTTGAATGCACGTTCATTGTCAGTATTGTTATGCAAATTAAAACTAGCTAATCATTTACAACCTTCCAAGCCAGTGCAGATTAGCCCTATTTTATCTTTGATCTTAACATGTAATACGTGTATAAAGTTTGAAAGTGGTAGCTATTTTTTTCATTTCAGTTATATTGCGAAAACAATCCTGTATGCCGGTTGCAAGGGAAACATGTGTGTGAAGGCATTAGTATTTTATTACCTTTAAATTATATTGAAAACATACATTCACACATACTGCTTTGACCGACAGTGTCACATAGCTAACACTTGTGTAAAGATTGAAGGTACTATCCGTTTTTCTTTTTGCGTTTTATTGCAAATTTAAATACATGGTACACACATTCTGTAATAACCTTCACCTTTTGTTCAGAACTTTTAACATGCTTAAGAGCTCTATTGCAAACATACATACATACGAGTATGAACATGTATGGCAGTGAATGTTCTACCTGAACGCTGATTTACATTTCTAAAATCAATGACTGTTAGAAATCATGAAATTTAATGCATTTGTTGTTTTTCATCTTACAACCCTTGTATTTAAGACCATAGGAGACAAATGCAAAATTGCCATTCTGACCACAGGGGGCACTATACTACAAAATTAGCATACTGACCACAGGGGGCAGTATACTACAAGATTGCCTTTCTGACGACAGGGGGCAGTATACTACAAGATTAGCAAACTGACCACAGGGGGCAGTAAACTGCAACATCATACTGACAATAGGGGACAGTATACTACACGATTGGCATTATGTCCACAATAGGAAGTATACTACAAGATTGTCTTTCTGACTTAACATTGACAAAAACTAAATAAAAACTAAACTAGTTTTTTTACCATTGAAGATAAAACGAACTTTAATGTCTTTTAAATTTAAAATGGTCCAAGAACTCAGAACTGACTGTAAATGAAATACAGGATTATGAAATTGTTGAGTAAAATATAAGCAATTAAATGGCAGTGGTCATCGCACCATATATGTTTATGGGAGTGCTATGCGATGAATATAACACATGTAAAATGTTTGTTTACAACAAATATGAACTTGTGCTGCATCATTACCATCAAACCACCCTATAAAATAAGTCAGAAATTGACGATCAAACTGATTACAGTTAATGCACCACCCTATTTATACAATTTATAATGATAACATGTACACCCCATTGACAATTAACTCAAATCATATGTAGTTCAAAGTTGAAAGTAGACATGCATCCAGTGTTAAAAACAAAAACAAAAATAAATGGAACACTGTAAAATACTTTATTTTAGACTGGAATTAATTATCGCTGAATAGACTTTTTGGGTGTTTTGTGTGGAATTTATTTTCACTGATTATTGACAAGTTGAATGTAAAATATAGGGAAAAAAAAGTATATTCTCTGGATTTTACTTTCACTGAATCATTCCTCCAGTGAAAATTAATTGCAAGTGAAAATAAAGTATTCCACAGTAAGCTGTTAAAGGCTGTTAAGGCCAGCAGAAACAGCAGAGCACAGCACTGTCAATGATACAGAACACAGTACAAGTGATATACCCTGTTCCTTTCACCTGCATTCTTTTATTGTTTGCTTGCTTACATCGAATATAATACCCCGGATAATTAAAATAGCATGATCAGAATAGAAGTAATGTATGAATTGAATTAATACTGTATACAAGAGAGGGTTACTCTTTCACCACATTGTTACTTTTTGAGTCCATCATAAAAGGATGCAGAACAGGTTAGATTTATAGATAACAAGACTGCAATACTGATGCCAATGTTCAAATGAGGGCTGATCAAGCAAGACATTATTGGTCAGAGATTAGCCAACTTGCATTAAATGTGCTGATAATTGTGACAAGTCATGTTTGATATAGATTCCTTACATGCAAATATGGTAAAATGAAATAGAACAAACAAATTCAACAACCCAATGTCACAATTCAGATTTTTTTTTCTTAGCAGACTATGTCTCTATTTTTATATTTTTGAATATGTAACAAGCAACCAACCAACCAGCTAGCTAGCTAGCTTAAAACATTACTCTGTCCAACATTGTTTTGCAATCAGAAAAAGCGACATTGTTGATTCATTAACAACAAAACAGACAATGTTGCAAGTAACAACACTTTTCAGCAAGTCTAATGTTTGACAGTTTGAACCATTGTTGATATTAATTATAAGAAATTAATCGCAACAATGTGTTTTTATGTTTTGGTTTATCTGTTATTTCAAATTGTTCAGTGATTTATCAGAACAGAATGATAGAAAATAGACAATCTATGTACGAGAATTACTCCCATCTACAGACTATATGAATGTAACATTACTTGAACCACTGCTGTAGTGCCCAGCAAAGTACATTTAGCTGAAGATGTTACTTGGTGTACCCAAGAAGTGCAAAATAAAGTTGTGATCTCTTAAATAAATAATTCTTACAAAGCATTTTACCACAAAATGAAATGTTGTTTGACCTCAGTCATTAAATATTGTAAATTTCAGGGCATGCATATTAGCATTACTGCACCAACAATTTCTAAAAGTTGTGTTCGCAACCTTTAAAGAAAAACTCCTAATAAGGGGTACAAATTTTGGCCAGGTATGTTAAGCACTTAGGAGTATTAATAGTTGCATTTGAATATTTAACATATTACCAGAGAAACTCATTTTAGACTTCCAAGCAGAAACTACAGCATGTTTTCTTCAGCGACATCATTCAGCGTACTGCACACAGTGTTCTTTTATCGCATCCAACACATCATTTGGTTCATATCTTCAAATGACCATTATTATGGGAATAATTTCTTGACCCTACTTATGTGAAAAAGGTAGTTACATTCAACAAAAAGTGTTTAGGGAGAAATTTTGAGTTTTGGTTACCCAAGTGTTTAGTCAAATGCACCTATTCCAACCCCAGGGTGTGAGCATCTAGAGTCGTACATAAGACATAAACGAAAATGTGTACATGACCTAAGATGAATAGCTTGATTTGACTGGAAGTACTAAAGAGCTAACATGTCAATATTTACAAGCCATGCATGGCACAGTCCCCATTAGTTATGGAATTTAAGATATATAGTTTTGTTTATAGTAATATAGCTGGAATATGAACATGTCAGGAATATGATTATGACTGTTTAACATTAAAATGATTGACATTTGTATCTGATCATCAAACGAGTTCTTGTCCATATTGAGAGATATTGGAACAGCATTAATTAAAACAAAATCAGCCATTTTGAATACATGTATATATCTATAAAATGGTGTATAATGAATATATAAAATTTGAACATTATCAGTCAAAGCAAGACAGAAGGGCTCTAGAAGCCCATTCATTAAAACAAAATAGCCACCAGTCAGCCATATTGAATCCGATCTGAAAAATAAAATGACGTGCATCAGGAACCCGTAATGTCTAATGTATGTACCAAGTTTGAACAAATGCCAGAAATGCTTGATATTTGATGATTTTTTAGCACAAAAATGGCCACCATTCGACCATTTTTAATAGGATCATCAAACCAATATATCTGTATATCTATGACATGATGTATAATGAATATTTAAAATTTTAACATAATCATTCAAAGCAAATCAGAGATATGGCACTAGAACCACATTCATTAAAACTAAATGGCTGCCAGTCAGCCATTTTGAATCTTATCTGAAAAGCAAAATGATGCGCATCGAGGTCCTATAATGTCCAATGTGTAGACCAAGTTTGAACAAAATCCATCTGTAAACAGCTGAGAAATTTAATTTTGATGATTTTTTCAGTACAAAAATGACTGCCATACTGCCATCTTGAATTAGATTGTGAAACAAATTGATGTGCATATGTATAATATATGTATGATGTATGTGTGTATGTCAAAGATACAGGCATCTCTAAAATACAGGCACGCATGCGCGCATAGACGCACAGAGGTCAATCATTAAGTCCCCGTTTTTGGACTGCGTCCAAACGGGGACTAAAAACATCTCAAATACATGGATTGACTGAGGTCTGGTAACGCGGGTGCATCAGAACAAACAATAACTGCAGATATGAACCATTTGCTATCCTTATCAATTTCAATTCAAACTGACAACATTTTCCATTACCTAAAGGTTGTGATCAAAATTGTCAAAAAAATTATGAAGACGTATAGTGAAAAAGTTGAGTTTGATGTTCAACATCACCTGCAGAAAGCCTATGAATTACCAAAATGAATGGAGAAATATGGTGTTGGCAGGCGATGTGCTTTCAAGATCCATCGTGAACAAATTTCCCCTCATGAATGCATACAAATTATCAACAACCAATTGCATTATACTTCACAAATTGGGCTTTGGATCAATGTGATTCCAATGTAGTCAAACATACGCAAACAACCATTATATAAAACCACAAAAAAATGTAATATATAAATTTCAAAAGAGATTTCCCCATGCAAGGTGTGCCAACATTCCAAATATATACAAGAGGGGTATACTTCTTGTCAAAATAGTAAATCATTAATTTGAAAAAACTTTAAATTTATCTCACAGAAAAAATCAAAGACTATAACATGAACAACATAACCTAAGACATAAATAAAGATATTTCATTTGAATTCATGACAATTGTAAATTTCATTGGACTCGCTTTGGTTAAAAACATTAAATACTGTTTTTTTTTAAATTAAAATAGTCTGCTCTTGATTCCTATTTTGGATGCCAAGTTATCAAGCATTGATGAGAAGACGCTTGCTTCGGAACCGTTCTTGTAACCGATGATCTCGTCGTAGGCTGCGATGAAAGCCATTCTCACAGCACTTAGTTTTTGGTGTCTTTCAGAGTAAGTACTGAAATAAAAAGAATTGATTGATTTATTTTATGGAAGGTGACAAAAGTTGACTTTGGCATTCAGACCATAATTTTAATGTAGAATATTTTATTTTAGAAACAGTAATCAGTGATCATTAACACACTAGAATTAAATCCAATACAAGGGTTTTTCTAGGGTTTCTTAGGGCCAAAATTACTATCAGACAGGTCAAAGTTAAAGACTGTGGCCACATGTGATCCCAGGTCAATCAGAATTTTATGGTTACCAGAGGATCTGCTCCCCAGGGTAAGGGGGCGCATGGCCATACCATGAGGGCACTGCGCCCCTGTTCCCTTGTTTAAACAAATCCCTGCAATATGTTTGCATGTATGGAGTATAGACTAAAAAGTATTTTATCATTGCATGGCTGCTTCATAAATTTTTCATTTTTCTTCTAATTTTATTAACGTCCTTACAATTTTTATATTAAGGTTCATATGTTAACTTACTGCAAATATTCAAGACGTGTGAGCGAATGCCACTATTAATACAGAACTGGGCTATTGACTGTCGACCTGACTAACTATTGACTGTCACCTCATGAATGGTCAATAGCATGTGCTGTTACAGTACTGTATTACTTGTTGCACATAGCCAAGCAGTACTGTAAACTGGAACTTATGTGATTTGATAATTTTATGGCATTGGTTAAGGCAAAATTTCATGAACGTCACTGTCACTCTGCACCAGATAAAATTTGGAATGTCACAAAATTTCACAATTTTCACTTACTCACCGAATTCACAAAAATTTGTCACTCTCAAAATTTAAGCAGTTTACATTTAATAGATAACATCGCAACCTTACATTATACGTTGACCTTTCACCTATGAACACCTACCAATATTCATGTCATGTCATCAGAAGAACAAAAAAATCACTTACCTCGCTGCAGAATTGTGAAATGATAAATGACTTTGACCAGCTCCACCGCTACTACTGCTACCACTGCTACTAGCAGCGTTAGAGCTATCTGAAGGAACAGAATCCTTGCAGCTTCCTGCCCTTGATATAATCTGCCAACTAATGCATATAATCACATCATATACAGTAGAAACATTAATTTTTACACCTACAAACACATACTGTGTTTCACTATGATGATAAGTTACATCCACTGATTTAAAATTAAAATCATGTAAACATATAAAGTTACAATACTCTTTGTACCAACACATCCATGAATTTAAAACCCAGTGTGTATGCTCTTAGTATGGAAATTTGAGTGAAATTGAATGGTTTTGTACCAGTGTAATAATACATGTACACCTTAACATAGCATAACATGTGGTATGGTGAATACACAAGTTTTGCCACTTGCTTTTCTTACGGCAACCATGTAATGTCCTTTCTACTTTGAATTACAAACTAGAGTCAAGAAGCTTCAGTTGGCAATGGTACTAAATACAAGCCACCTCTATTTTTAGCGAGACAAACCCTCCATTGAAGGGATTCCTGCTAGGCATTGTATATGCGTTGGTCTGGTATGAAATTGTGCATCTGATAACAAATAATGAATCACATTGTTGGCACACAGCAAAAGTTGCCCAAATTCAATGATTTTTATAGAATACAGGTCAGATCAATTATATATATTCATTTTTGAGAATGTGTACACACATGATTAGTATGCCAGAATTTATTGATAATGATGGCCACATAGAAACGTTATGAAATATTTGTGAATAACAAAGCTATATGTAACTGACAGTCACTTATCTCAAAGAATATAATTAGTGAAATTCAACACTGTCATCCATAGTGAATCAATTGATGGAGCTGTGTCTGTTTATTATGCAAATTATCATAATGACGTACATGACAGGCATAAAGATGTGGGAGTTTAATATTGTTAAGGTCTCTGCTATGATAGATAGTATGCTTACCTTCCACAACCTGATGATGCTGCTGATTTGTCCTGCAAGAAATATTGTAACTATGGTGACTCGTGTTATCTGTACATGTAGGAACTGTCACAGTGATAATTACTGTAATCATGTTTTCTAGTAATGTAATTATATTTGATGTATTCTTAATACCATGTCATTTGTTATTTTCATAATCATGTTTTTCTATTGACTTTTCATAATGTAAATACATTTTCCTTTATAATAATGAAATGTTTGCACGTTTTTTTTTTCCATAATTTAATAATATCTCACAATGTAATCAGGTTTTCTGATTACATAATCTTTTTTTCTTCTAATGTAATTATGTAACCACATACAATGTATTTCTACAGTGTCACGATCACCAAGGTCATTACCAATATATTATGTATATACATGTCAATCTAAATCGATTCCAGTGGAAATTATCACTTTGTACTTACCGTATCAGGGGTGTATTTTTTGAGTGGGACGGGAACAGGACTTGTTCCACCTTTACCACCATTGCTATAAACACTGGTAGAATTATTGTTGTAAAGTGGTCGGTAAAACACACTAGAAAAAAAATTTCAGCTTGTAAATATGTATTTCAAAAGTGATGTCACAAAAGAATCAACAGGCAATAATATGAGGTTATTACGAAAATAGCTCATAGTATGCACGAAGACAGTACAGCTGGAGTATCGATTGACGTGCAGCGGAGGTTGATGCGCAGTGTACTGTCTGAGTGCATACTTTTGAGGTATTCTCGTAATAACCTTATTATTATACATCTTTTCCTTGCAAGGATACATCATGGGAATGTCAAAATCCAAAAAGTTTACAACAGAATCAGCGAACTTCTTTGTGTGGAGTCCGGTCAAACCCTGATGGCAGCCACATTTGTTTTTATTATCAGAGGACGTTTAAGCACGTAATCATTCCATATTTGGAATTCGCATTCCCTTATATGATAGGATGAAAATACCCCGCAAAATACTGAAAAATTACGGCACATTGTAACTTATAGTGTTATGGTGACAGATGTATAATAATTATCGTTATTATAAAGCTCACTGTTTCAAATTTAATGTCTAAAATTATCATCACATTTTAAATAATGTGTAGTGTTGAGTCCCTGATGTTATAAAACACAGATTGTCTGGCTTCATTAACGCAGCTGAGTAAGTCTATTTTTCTTGCTAAGGCCTCTCTGGGAATAGTCAGATTTGTGACCAACTCAAAATATCTCTGGAAAAATATACGTACATTGTTGTATGCTGTTGTCCTTATTGCCAGTCAATATATGTTTAATATTCTTAGGAAAAATATTATTGTGGAAATGAAAGTTCATTTTTTAAATAACTGCTTACATATGTATATTAAAAAGTGTTATAAAGTAAAACAGCATCACTATGTTAATTACCTGTTTCCCTGAACAGCATCTTCTCTATCTGTCTTTTCTGAGACATTGAATACAATTGGTGAGCTTGTACTACCAACACTGGTAACACTACAAGCACTGTTTAAACTAGTACTGCTACCAGAACATTGATTAGAATATTCAGAATCTGTAATACAAATACCAAAACAGTGTTGTTAGTCATGGTGGATGATGGCTTTACATCTAGTGAGAGTGACCGAATGTAGTGGATTGAGTTTTGAGAAGTAAACACCAAAACAGTGGTGTTAGATCTTGGACTGCTTCAATTAAAAGTAGATTTATATTGAAAAATATAGTTTGAGACAAATGTCTTCATTTCCATCAACAGTAAAAACAACAGCTTATTCACCATATTATACATATAGTTAATAATTTTGATTCATTTGTCAAAGCATTTACTACATGTTTAGCAACAAAACAATAAGTAAATAGGAGCACCCACTGAATGTGTCTGCAGGACCACCACATTTCATGGTTACTGGTTTAGACCACACACTGAATGTGTCTGCAGGACCACCACATTTCATGGTTACTGGTTTAGACCACACAATTCCAGATTCCAGATACTATTCGCTGCACAGAAAGGGGTTTGGAATGAAATGACGAGTCACCTTATGAATAATGTACATAACCTTTTATATCACTCACCGTTAGTGTACTACACAGTTAGTGTACTACACAGTTAGTGTACTACACAGTTAGTGTACTACACAGTTAGTGTACTACACAGTTGTGGCTTTGGAACGATGAATAGCTGAACTACTGGATGAGTTTATTAGATACTAAAACAGAGATAGGCTACTGACTGAGATTTATCTACCAACAGACATGACTTTAGGAGAACCTTGGATAACGTCTACAGGTAAATGCATTTACCTTGGCCTTGTTGAGACATTAAATTGCAATACTATTATGATATTAAGATGGTCACACAGTCCCGACGTGTAATCCCAAACACGGAATTTGGTTTCCACAGAAAAATGTACTGTAGGTTTAGTTAGAAGTAAACTAGATATGAAATTCAAAATGAGAACTTACCGAGCAGTAAAGGGTTATCAAACTGGGAGTCCGAGTCTAATCTACCAAGTGGCCTACAATGAAATACCATACACAGTGCAAGTTAAAGGTGTAATGATTAAAGTCAGTATTCATTTGGGGAACCACCAATGGTTTTGATGAAAAATTTGAATAGTGACATTAACTACTTTTATAAATAATATTTCTCTAAATATTTCTCAATACCTACATCAATTTGAAATTGATGGCCAATTTGAAATTGATTGAAAAATGAACAAATACATTTAAATACAAGTCATTGAAAATGACACAGTCCCTGTTAAATTTTTGAAAGTTCTCTTTGTGCTCGTCATAGTGGCGTATACAACAGATTGTGTATTTACATCAAAACATGTGTTCCATGTACTGTAAAATCTGTATTAAAAGCCGCAGCTTCTATTAAAATGGTACACTGCAACAGAGGGGATGCAGCTTCTATTAGAGCGTTACACATATGAGAAATGATGAATTTTTGGGTCTCAATTATTCAATCAAAGAAAGCTTAGAAAGAACTCCCGTGTGCTGAGAGTATTGAAAACACATTAAAAATTAATTCAAAATTACCTGTACATGAGATATTGATAGAAAAGCTGAAAACTAATTATGTACATCATGTAACTAATATCAACAGAACAGAACAAAAAAATTATGAATTATTATGCTAATTAGAGAATTAATATGAACAAATTTTAACCCAAAATTAATCAGGCCTGTCTATTGTCCTAGAGCATTTATGTACCAAATTTTATTCAAATGTGATGATCAGTAATTGAGATATCAGTGTTAATTAATTATGTTAATTAGGTGATTAATAAGCATAAATATTTACCAAAAACTAATTGGGTTTCTGCATAGTTCTCTTTAAAAGTTTCATTAAAATCCAATTTGTGGTTCTTTATATATCAGTGGAACATTATGCAAATTAGGTAATTAATATCCAATTAAAAATAATTAATAGGTCTCTGCATAATCCTAGAAGATCTATGTAGCAAGTCTCATTGAAATATGATGATTACTACTTGATACATTGTATATCAAAAGCTGAAAATTAATTAATTATGCAAATTAGATAATTAATATGTACTCATATTACCCTAAAAACTATCAGGTTTGTGCAGTGTCCTAATCATGCATCAAAATCCAATGAGTGGTTCTTTAGATATCAGTGGAACAGTCATGAAACAGCTAAAAATCAGCTAATTATCATGCAAATTAGGTAATTAATATGCATGGATTTTTACCAAAACCTAATCAAATCTGCGCATTGGCCCAGAGCATCTATGCACCAAGTTTCATCAAAAACTGATGTATGGTTCTTGAGATATCAGTGGAACAGACGGACACGCATACACACACACACACGCACACACACCCACACCCACACACACAGACACACTAACTGCAAAGACTCCCTTTTTGTGCCTCGCACACGGAAGTCAAAAAGAATGAGTGCGGCTTTTATAAGGGATGCGGCTTCTACTACAGATTTTACGGTAGTAGTAATATGGCCAAAAATAAAAACAGCCGTTATTCGGCCATCTTTGATTTGATTATGAAACACACTGTCTGATATGTATGATGTATGTGCCAAATATGAATGAACATAGTTGAACTCTGGTGACCTTGCCCTTTGTTATATAATATAATTCCCTTTATCATAGTTTGTTTCAATATAAATATGCATTGTCATAATTAATTTTGAATACAAACAAGTTTTGGGGTTGAACCAACAGTGGGGAATCAGTCAACCGAATGTCCTTAAAAGATGTAAATATCTTACAAAAACATGCCTTATTTGTTTAATTATTTTAAGGAACATAATTTCCAGCTTTATTCAAAGTAATTCAGATATTTTAGAATAAAA